AATAATAGCAATGAAGCAATGATAAGATCATGGAAGTAGTGATGACATAATAATGAAATTCATAAAGTAGGAATATACCTGGATTGCATTAATTAATTATTTTTATGCCCTTAAAAACGTAAGCATAGGCTGCCATACTATTTCCTCGCTGCTTGTCTGAATGAGAGAAGACTTGCGATGCCGTGCATTAGCAGGTGAAAACGCCGGTGACTACCGTTGGGATGAGTATAATATTAAATTTAAAAATATGCAAATAGTGATAACATGCAATTTATTGGGGCTTGAGGCGCTTTCTCCGTGGCGGAAATGTAGCAGTCCATGCGTTTAGGTGAAACCGACCCACGTCCCTTTGTGCAGACCGAGGTCTTGTAAGGCAGTTCCAAAAATAAATAAAAATATAATTTTCTTTTAAATAAGGAACAAAAACATTGCTCCATGTGTCGCAGCCTCAGAGACGCCAGAAAGAAACCGGCCCAAAATGTCCTCCCTATGGAAAATATGGACCTTGACGGATCTGTCGACCCTGATCGATCGCGGGGTTAAAAACCTCGAGGAAAAAAAATAATGCGAAGATGGATGCTCGAATATCAATCATGGATTTCACGACCGATCAGTACAAAACAGGTCACATGAGAGATTAAGGGAAGTCACGAGGAAGAATAATCCAAGAACCAGGCAAAGGAATCAGTAGGTGGAATACTAGACAGAAGAATCAGTAGGCAAACCACTAGGCGGACCAGTAGATGAACCACTAGGCGCCCTGCATCAACCCCATCAACTTGTTGAGCACTTTAACTCCCCTGGGCGTCCGTGTCCGTGTCGACATCGTCAGCGAAGCTTCTGACTGTGGGGTTCGCCTGGGGGTACATTGCCATCTGTTGCAGGAGCAAGAAAGAAAGAAAAGGCATTTGTTTCATGATGGTGGCTTAGAGAAGTCAGCCAATGTTGATGCTCGTTCCTATGTTTTAAACCGAATTTCTGTGACCTCGAAGAACTGACATCAGGAACTGACAAGTACTTTTTAAAAAAAAGGCTGAATTCAGCCGAGACAGCAAACATCCGCCGAACCGAAACAATGGGGTTCCGGTCGACCAACCGACCCCTCTCTGCACGACAGGCATCGGTCACGTCACGCACTGACTAGAGGCAGAGCGTGACGCTTCGGAACTTGAAATGTTCCAAAAGGGCGCAAGGACGGGACAGAGGTCACTCACATAGGCTTTGTCGACCTTGTCGTGGACGCATTGATGAGCTGTGTTGAGCTTGTCGAAGGTCGGATCGTTCGAAACTCCGCTCTGCTGCCGACATTGGGCATCCTGAAATAATATAATAATAATAAGTATAAATATATAAATATGCAGTTATGTGCCAGATGCGCAGGGTAATTTGGCCCTCACGAGAGTGGCCCTGCCGGTCACATCCAGGCACTTCATGGCCTGCATGATCCGCAGCAGGCTCTTCTGGTCGGCATCTGACAGACCCAGCATCGACATCATGCCCGACATCATGCGTCCCATCCTGCCTGATATGTCCGTCCCGTTCGGCATCGCCACCTCGCCCTGCAACGGAGACGACATTCTTATTATGCAAGGTGGGAACGCGACATGCCATGTCGCCCGAGTCGCCAGGAGTCGTCGCTTGTCGACTCGAGTGGAAAAATTTCGTTACGTTAAGGATCCGACGGCAGTATTCGAAATTCTGAGAGAGTCGGTCCTGGACGCATTTCCCGATCCCTGAGGTTTCGTCGGCCAATGCTGCTTGGGTAGTTCCTGTCTTGTTCACCACCTTTTGAGAAGGACAGAGAAGAATCGTGACTATGAATTGCTTGCTGAGATGCATATCCACATCATGCACGAGGCACAATTCATAATCTAGCACCATGCACAATTCATAATCTAGCACCATGCACAATTCATAATCTAGCACCATGCACAATTGCATCATGCATAAAATTACGTCATACATACTCTTGCAACGTGATTTTGCGGCATTGAAGAGCAAACTTTTTTTATTGCATAACGCATTATTGCATTATTTACTGTTGCATAACATATCATTGCATAACGTATTATTGCATTATTTACTGTTGCATAACATATCATTGCATAACGTATTATTGCATTATTTACTGTTGCATAACATATCATTGCATAACTTATTATTGCATCATGCATGCTTGTATCCTCCACGAGAAGTCTCAGAATCGAGGATTGCAATCGCTCATTATTGCTCTTTCGTTTTCATGATGATTGATAAATAATTAACAAGTATAAATGAAGTAGATGCTCTTCAGATAATGCCTTAAGCGAGATTCAGGTAACCGGAGTAACGCCGAATCCATTCAAAATCCCCATTGATCTCGATCATGCGTGCGAATTCGAGCGTGGAAGCCAACTTTTGCAAATTGCCTTCACTCACCGCCTCAAAGCAATTCTTGCAGTCCACGTACTTCATGTCACGAGCCACCACGCAAGCACTGGCTGCCTTCCACCTGATGGGAAGGGGACA